AAGCAGCACTAGAAGCCCTTGGTGTTAAAGATAGAACGGAACACAAAAATTCTTGGTGGACGGACGATTTAACCCAACTGGTAGAAGAAAAGAAAACTTATATCTTAAATGGTTAACTACAAAAGACAATGAAGATCGAAAAAGCTATAATCGTTTTAAATATATAGTAAAAAAAAGATATTAAAAAAATAAAAAACAAAACATGGGAAACCAAATGTGCTGAAATTAGCTCAATGGTAGGAGGATCTAGGTCTAGAGAAGCTTGGCGAACTATAAATGGTCTTAAAACAAACACGAATGAAAGAAGAAAAATAAATCCCATAAAAATAGAACAGTGGAAAGACTACTACAATAATCTACTGGCAGAACAACGTGGAGAGTATTTAGACACGCAACTAGATATAGATCAAACGGGAGTTAACAGAGTAGATACCATTCAATTAGAAGAAATAAAAACAGCATTACAAAAAATGAAAAATAATAAAGCTCCGGGACCGGGGGATTTGCCTATCGAGTTAATTAAACACGCCACCACAAGAACGCACGAGCTACTTTGTGTAATTTTTAACAAGTGCCTGGAAGGGGAAACGATTCCCAGAGATTGGAGGAGCTCTTACATAAATTCCATTTATAAAAAGGGAAACAGGAGTGACTGTAGTAATTATCGGGGTATTAGTATTACATCGTCCATCGGAAAGCTGTACGAAAGAGTCCTAACAGCCCGAATAGAAGACGAAGCCACGGAAATTGAAGAACAAAGTGGATTTCGACCTCAGCGATCCTGTGTCGACAACATATTTACAATAAAACAACTGACAGAAAAGAGATTAGCAAGAGGAATGGAGCTACACGCTACTTTTATAGATTTCCGCAAGGCATTCGACTCCGTCCCTTTGCAGAAATTATGGATCGCAATGAAAGAAGCAGGCATAAATAGCAAATACATAAACGCCGTAAAAGCAATGTATAGAGAAAATCAAGTGGTCGTTAAAGTCGGAAATCAAATTTCTGAGGCTTTCCCACAAACAAAAGGTATTAAGCAGGGCTCCTGCCTCTCTCCAACCCTGTTTACAATTTATCTCTGCAGCGCTTTAAAACAGTGGATAAGAAAGTGCAGCCCCATGGGGATATGGTTAGAGGACTTTCACTTGTATACAATCCTCTTTGCAGATGATCAGGTAGTCTTTGCAGAAGACCAGCAAGACATGACTTACATGATAAACAAACTTATAGAAGAATTGACTAAATGGGGTTTGGAGATAAATATACAAAAGACACAATACATGACTATAGGAGGCACAGGACAAGACATCGAAACAAAAAGCGGAAAAATAGAAAACGTCGGACAGTACCAGTACCTAGGAGTTACAATAGATGAAAGCGGAAAGGATAATAAAGACATACTAAGGAAAATAGGAAAAGGAAAAAACATGATTAAAGCACTACATCCGATCTTGTGGAGTAAGAACCTAACAAAGAAAACAAAAAAAATTATATATCAGGCTATGATTCAGCCAGTATTGACGTATGGGTCAGAAGTGTGGGTTGTAGATAAAAATATGTCACAAAAGCTTCTCTCAACCGAAATGATGTACTGGAGAAGATGTTCCGGTTTAACTTTACTTGACCATGTTAGAAATGAGACCATCAGAGAAAGAATGGAAGTCGAAAATACAATAATGGACGATATAACAGAGAGGCAGTTAAAATGGTATGGACACCTGCAACGAATGAACGAAGAAAGGATACCATTAAGGGTTTGGAAATGGACACCAGCACAAAGAAATAAACGAGGAAGACCACGAAGGAAATGGATTTCAAACATCCATACCGCAATGGAAAGTAGAGGACTACATGAAGGAGACTGGAACGATAGGATACGATGGCGTATGGGTTGCGAGAAGCGACCTTAGGTTGCAGAAACTCGCCATATATATATATATATTACAAAACCGTTTAAAAATAAATTTGAAACAAATTGTAACATACACTTTTTAAATACAAGAAATAAAGATATATTCATTATGTCTAGTCATAAAACCGCATTTCCTAAAAGATCTTTATAAGCAGCGCCGTCAAGTTTTACAACTTTTGGCCAGTGGTATGATTCACCTCAAAAACATCACTTTTGCATAAACAAAATGAAGATTACCCGTTTCTAGTCTTAAACCAGCTATTACCAGGTTGGTCATTGCACTTGATGAGGTTGACATGTTATTCCTTATATTTTTGTGATTAGTTGTCACTTTTTGTGTAGTGGTTCAAGAATTCCAAATTTGCATTTGATCATGATTTGTAGGTATATCATCTGATTAACAGGTTAACTAAGAATAGCCAGCTGGACTTCGCCTGCATTTTAGATCAGTTTATATTATTTATTTCATTAATCTATCTATAAAAAACTATCCGGCATCACATATATTCTTATACAGGGTGTCCCGAAAAAAGTGTGCAATATTCTACCAGCGGTTTCTAGAGCTTGAAATAGGAAGAAAAGTTTATATAAACACAGGTCGACAAACGTCCCCTAAGGGCGCTACGGTCTTTTAAAGGGGCTGCCCTGAACATGGTTTTTCCTTAATATTTCCGAAACGTGTTGAAATAAAGACATAAAATTTAGTATTCTAGCCTAGTTTTTTATGCTGGATGCAAACATATTCACAATTTCAGACAGCTTTGTTTGGAAGCGTATGTAACAGGGACGGACTCAGGTTATTTTAGCCCCAACAGTTTTGTGTGATTCTATTTTTGAAATTCAATTTTAGAATTTGAAGATTTAGGGTTTTCTACATAAAAAAGGTACTCTCATTGAATATCGATAAATTGTGCCATTTTTGAATAAAATCAAACTAAAGAATTTGTCACATGATAGGAAATGTACTGCGAATTTAAATGAATTGTTGATTATACATAGTTAGCCATGACTGCAAATAAAAGTTGTTTTGATTTGTTATGACTTGTTTTGACGTTAAGCTGACATTGTTAGCAGTGTAAAATTACTAGATTGAAATCAAAATTTTATTAAATCGGTTTAAAATGCCAAGATTTACAGACAGAGAACTGACTGACATGCATTTTGTGTACGGGTTTTGTAATGGCAGTTCATTGGCAGCCGTAAGAGAATATCAAATAAGATTTCCCCATCGCATAGTACCCGGACGTCGAATGTTTACTGATATTCACCAGAATTTGTCAAACCATGGAAGTTTTCAGCGCATGCAGGGCTCAGGAAGGCCACTGGGAAATCATCGTATGGATATTGCTTTAAATATGTTTGAAAAAAATCTGCAAATAAGCATACAGAAAGTTTCAGAAATTATGAATATACCTCGATCAATAGGTGGAAAAATTTATGAATACCTATCTGATAGTTATCCCAAAAATAATAATTTTAGATAGGAAGAATGACGAGAATGCAAGGATTACATCCTTATCATTTTAAACGGGTGCAGCATGTATCGGAGGCAGATTTTTTACCACGAATCGAGTTTTGCCAGCGGATATTAGCAAAAACACTATTCCTAGAATATTATGGTCGGACGAGTCAATATTTACTAGGAATGGTGCTTTTAATTTCCATAACATGCATCACTGGCCAGACGAAAATCCAAAAGTTGTTCGCCGTACAAATTTCCAACATAGATTTTCAGTGAACTTATGGGCAGTAATTGGGGATCAAGTAATTGGGCCTCTTGTACTTCCCAATCGTCTTAATTCAGAGGCGTATCTGAAATTTCTTTAGAATGAGCTCATGGATATAATACCATTGGATGTGCGCCAGCAGTTTCAAGAAAATATGTTTTACAGCATGATGGCGCCCCTGCACATTTTGGACGCAATGTTCTAAATTGGTTGAATGTCAATTTTCCAGACAGGTGGTTACGCCGAGGGGGTCCTATAGCGTGGCCGCCACGTTCACCTGACCTAAATCCATTGGATTTCTATTTTTGGGGGTCATTAAATGACCTATTTTACTCGACTGAAGTAAATACTAAAGAAGATTTACTTCAAAGAATCCATCAGGCTGCAAATTAAGTAAGAAGAAAAAGGTTTTCCACTTTTCGGGCTACGCAATCATTAGTTCGTCGAGCTAGACTCTGTATCCAACAAAATAGGAATTTATTTGAACACTTATTGTAAACCTAGTTTTAAGTATATCCAACTGTGTCTCTTCTTTTTTATACAAATTTCAATTTCGTTCGTAGAAGAATTTATTTCTTTTGTTTTTGCCTAAATGTTGGCTATGTTGCAATAGAAATATGTATTTATGTAATATTTACCAATTATTAAATTAGTTTTTCCGCTGCCATGGCTAATTATTCAACAATTCATTTAAATTCGCAGTACATTTCCGATCATGTGACAAAGTTTTTAGTTTGATTTTATTCAAAATTGGCACAGTTTATCGATATTCAATAAGAGTGCCTTTTTCTGTAGAAGACCCTAAATTGTCAAATTCTAAAATTGAATTTCAAAAATAGAATGATACAAAAATTTTCCGTCCTGTTACATATGCTTCCAAACAAAACTTCTAAAATTTTTAATATTTTAAATCCAGCATAAAATACTAGGCTAGAATACCAAATTTTATGTCTTTATCTCAACACGTTTCGGAAATATTAAGGAAAAACCATCTTCAGGGTAGCCCCTTTAAAAGACCGTAGCGCCCTTAGGGAACGTTTGTCGACATATGTTTATATAAACTTTTGTTCCTATTTTAAGCTTTAGAAACCGCTGGTAGAATATTGCACACTTTTTGCGGGACACCCTGCGTATGTTCATATTCAAATGCAACAGGTACCTTGGAACTTGCTTCACGAAATTGGTTTCATACAACGGACTTCTCCGCGGTTTCTACAGTGTGCATTGCGCCTTAGCCGGTGGCAATGAAAACAGTTAAATGCCGGCATTCCAAATCTCCCACCAACGTTATATCTAGACATAATTATTGGTTTGTAGATGATTGTTCATATCTTTACCTAGACCAATCTGAAACGCATCAGTACCAAACAAGCTATTCTCGTTGTTTCAGATATCGGATGTTAGTCAATTCCAGCATCTGTAGAACAATTAATGTTGATATTAAACAAGAGTTATTACACAGACTTTTCTCATCTGAGGATTCATCACGAGACTATGTAACCTCTGCACTTTTCCTATAATTCACTAGTTATCCTTAGCAGGTATCTGTATTTTAAGCAAATTGCATTCGTAATGCATTCAATCAACAACTGTAGAACCATGGTCAACACAGTGTCTGTTGTGCTGCTACTGTTATGTGCTTTTTATTGTGTTTTGGTAGACCCACAGTCAGGGGGATTCACGTTTTCGTAAGTACCTGGTATTTACGGGTTCGATGGTGAAGAAGTTAGTAGTTTCTAAGCTGTAGTCTAAGTGAGGCATTTTTAGTGTTGCGTCTTTAACAGTCAAAAGGATGTTTCAAGCCCTCTGCAATTTTGCGCGCGAGAAGAATCATCTAGGAAAAGCTGCGGTATTAAGAGGTATTATGTCGCGCGGGTATCACGTATCTTGAAAAGTGATATTATGCCGATTTTTTTTGACATTATGCTGTTTTTTTGACGTTATTTAGGTTAGTCTACAAGATTTTAACTTAGCACTTAGTTGTACGTGTTGCCTAAACGTCATGAGGCTTGTTATCAACCTTTGGCTTTGATGTGATGTAAAATTTGCTTCTGAGATGGCATTACTGGAGGTCTAAGCTGTAAGTTGTATCTGTTGATGATAATTACATTGGGTTTTTGTCTCAAATACACTTAATTGAGATTGAAAGCTAGAAATTCGTAGCGCATCCACTTTTTCTTAGGGGCCGTTCAAGTATTATGTAAGCAGATTTATTACAATTATTTACCTCCCATTCCCCTTGTCAGCAAAAGTAAGCAAAGCTTTGACCCCCACCCCCCAACATTATAGCCATCAATTTCCATTGAACTCCATACTTCAGCTAATACATTTCCTGCAAATTCGAAATTAGATCTTTCTAAATGTTCATCAATTGTAACGCCACGTTTATCCTAATGAGACCCAAAATGATCATGAGGCAATATTAAACCAGCCAGTTCCCGACTAAGAGGAGCCATTCCGCGCACTACTCCACAATTTTATTCTATATTCCATGTGCATTAGAAGAGGTGCTTGCTTATTTGCCGCAGTTACGCCAATAAGGACCCGAGCTTTATCATCTTGAGATATGAAAAATACTTGATTTGGTCCAAGTATGGATGCTATGTTCTCTAAATAATGGATTGATGTTTCAGCGAACTTGCTATCTAAGTGCTGTCTAAGTTTGAGCCCGAATGAGCATAACAGGGACTGTCGATACATGTCTTCGTCCCTCTGCATCATTAGATTTTCTGGGAATCAAACGAAGATATGTCTCACTGCGACTAATGTCAAATCTGATTTTACGTAATTCTTGTGTGAGTTCCGTCCGTCTTTTATCATCTGCTGCACTCCCAAATAAAGCTATATCCGCGATTGTTTTCAATAGTGAATGTTGATTGCTTTCAAGATTAGGACGTCCCACTGAATCCCTCACAGATAGTCTTTTTTTTATTTCTGGATTTTCATGACAAATATCTTCTAACTGTCTTTTCATACCATACCTGTGTTTCTTGTGGGCCACTGTTTAAAGACTGTTTTGCTGTTTTTATTTCCTCGCGCAACTTAATGATCTGTTTATCAACTTCAGCACGGCTTGGCATAGTATCTCTGGCAAAATACAAATCATTCAGATTTTTTTCGAGTAAAACAATCTTATTTTTCATAGCTTTGCTATCTGTTTATCTGTATTTTCATTAATTTCGCATTGCTGTTGTCACTCGTTACCGGGTTTTATTCTATCTATCTACTTCTTCCTCTTTTTTAATATTTGAAGCTGACTGTATAATTTGTGTTTTTTTCTGCAGGTTCACAGGTTGCCTAAAAAGAAAAGCCTTCTATGGCTTCTGCTCAAGATTCGCTTATCAAGCTACATAAATACAAAGTATGGCAATATATATGGTAAATACAAAACCCTTCGGCTTTAAATCTAATATGTTGAAACGAGCAATTCGTTCCGGTCACAAAATACAGGGTGTTAGTTTTCTGTATATACGTATAAAACTAACATCCTGTACTTTGTGACCAATTGACGGAATCAATCATAAGAAATAAATCTATAATATAATGAATATTACCTCTATACTTTGAGATAGGCCATACTATTTTCTAATCAGTAAAGAGAAACTTTTTGGCGATTTCTAATATTTCTAGTACTCATAGGTACCTAAAATGATTTCGTCACTCACCTTAGAAAAAAAATTTAGTAGATTGGATTTATTCTTAGTCGCCGCTTGCTTTTCTTCGATTCTCTTAGATACAATAATATCTAGTTCATTGTCGGATTTTGCTTGTAATTTGTAATTTCGCCACACTTCGTTAAATAACTTTTGTACATTTTGTACTTTCGTACTTGTATGAGATTTTTTAAAACCCTCAAACAATTTTTGGTATAACTTTAATTTTCCTATGTGAAACGAAATCTTATTTAAACATTAAACTTTGGTTAATGGAATCAATGGTAACACAAATGTTAACTTGCTTTACTATGCTTACAATACGTCTACTCGCTATAGTTTCCAAACGAAACAATACACTGATAGAGGAAATTTAGACAAGTGAACACCGCGCGGTTATTCCCCTACTCGGTTCTGAAGCGAGTAGGGGAATTACCGCGCGCTGTGCACTAAACGTATGCATTATTTTTCGGGAATCCCCGAAAACGCGTTTCGTTTTCAAGCAAAGGACAATGTGAGGGTTGCCGTTCGTGTAAAAAAATAAATAACTGCCGATGACGTAATCATCATCTAGACTCCCCTACCCCCCAAGTCAAAATAAGCAAAGCAAAGAACCCCCGCCCCCCCCCATAGTGCTCACGTAATACTTGAACGGCCCCTTATCCATTCTGGAAATTACATATACAAATTTGGTGAATTTCAAAAATGAGAGAGATAAGAAGTAATTATATTCACTGTATCCTGTCGAATTACAAGCCATATACATGCTAACAGTAATTACACACAACGCGGGCGCGGTGCTGATTCCCGTAATTCTCCTCAGTTTTTCGTAATTTATAACTTTGAACATAACCTCTCTTCAGAGAGCACAACATATAAATAACACTTCTATTCGGCATATTCAGTAATGATTTTCTCACACAGCAAATATCACTGATTTTATACACATGCAGACCAATACACATAATCGCCTAGATGCGATCTTGCTACTCAACCAACTTTCTTCTCAGAGATAAAAACTTCAGCCTCACAAACTTATGCAACCAATAATGCATAGTTTAGTTGAGGGATTCCTCCACAGATGGACGTTTACAACGATCATAGTGGGCAAACGTGGAATGACTGTTTGCGAACTAAAAAAACTACCTAGTCTGCACGTTGACATCTTACAGGTTTTTTTTGACGTTTTATAGGTTTTTTACATGGTACCCGTGCGTCTTAGCGCAAACATTTTGAGCTTTAGCTACACCTTCTGTCACTTGTTCTCAAAAAAAGGAAAACACGCAAAACATATTGTTGCAGGCAAAATATTATGTCATGGATTTTTTTAAACATAACCTAAATATTTTGATACTATAATAACGGAGTACGCAGTGTGTCAGAACGTACAGTCTACATAGTGTTTACAAAGCATGGAACAAACATTGAAGGAGTTTCTTTGGACTTTTGACACATAAAAATGTTTTGTTCAAGATTAATATTAGAATAGTTATTTTTAATTAATTTTTTTTTGACCTCCTTCCTAAGATAGATTGATTCCGAAGATACAAGACGGAGGGGACGTCTGAAAATCACGTTTTATCTACGAAAACTGATTCAATTTTCAAAACTTTTCAAAAATACCTCAAACTGAGTTTCAAACAGACAAGGGTTGCATCCTACTGAGTTATGTATAACAATTACACAGCCCCACGCAAAATAAGAAAAATCCGGGATTGGAGTTTCTAGATGTCTTTAGTTTACCCCCTGGCCCAAAAACTGCCCCTAGGAGGATTGAAAATTGAGTTTCGGATACTAGATGCTGGAGCATGGTATTACCATGCTGTTTTCGACAATAAAATCGAATTTGGGGTCAATGGAAAAAGGGCTGAAAATTTGAGTTTCGACGCCAGATCACGGTATCCTATGCATTCTCTAACGCTGAGTCGGTATTTGAGATTAAGAAAATCCACCTCCGTTGAATTCACTTCTGGCGTCAAAGCTACCTGTAATAATGGGTGAAAAATGGGATTCGGGTGATGTCTGCTAACCTGTTGTATCGTTGTACTCGCATAGTCTGATGCATTTTTTCCGTAGTACCTGCACTCCGAGTGTTTGAAATTTTCGTTGACCCCACTTTCGGATTCAGCATCGAAAAACATATGGGAATGCCACGTTCAAGCATCTGGTATCGGAACTCAATATTCACCTCTCGTAGGGATAGTTTTTGAGCTTGGTGAGATCGAGATATAGGGGACTTTTTGAAATTCGGATTAAGCATCGAAAAATACATAGGAACCCTGTGCTCCAGCATCTGGCATCCAAAACTCAATTTTTACCCCTTAGGGTTGGCTTTTGGGACTGGGGTGAGTTCTATTCGTGTGAGTTCTGATCCTTGATGCGGATACAGCGCTGATTTGTCTCAAGGGTTCAGACCTTCCTTTTTTTGTGGGGCTGTGTTACACATTTCACTTCACTTTGTAGGTTTTCAAGTCCGGAAATCGACGACCCCATAAGTCAGGTCCTGCTCAAGCCTTCCAACGATCTATGTAATGATTATGATGGAAACTCACAAGCAATCATGCTGTCTGTAGTGTTGTATTCTAGCTGAATCTAGTATTTTAAGCTGTTTTTAGGTGTGCAAGAGCTTCAAATCTAAAATTTAATAATGAAAAAGCTTTTTTCTAAACATTTTGTACTCTATGTATGGGTACTTCTCAACAAATTAAGAAATTTTTTTTTGCAGAAATATAAATTTTTATATTAGTGAGGTTCATCGATAATCAAGGTCCTCAATATTTTTTTATATAACATGTAGAAAAATGACTTATAAAAAAGTATGAGACGAGGGAATGGCTGATTGCACAAGGGATTGATTTTTACAACAATTTGATGCTGAATTTCAATAAAAAACATAAGTTAATTTATTAGTAGATATATTGAGATTTGTTTTATAATTTAGAGAGCTTAGATAGTGATTCTTCCCTGGCCACATCGTCGTATTTTCATCCTTCTCTAAGAAATGAACAACATCACCCTTAACTTTCAGCATTTTGGAGCTAACTTTACGAGTACATTTCTTTTTGTACGTATCGTTTTTGAAAAAATGCTTCGATATATATATATAGCAATTTGTATCTTTTGTACTAATTGCAGCTTCGAAATTGATTTAGCATTTTGTGAATGCATTGTGCTCCCCAAACCAAGAAAAAAATCATTTAAACATTCGAATAGTATAATGACTTACCTTTTAATATAGACAGTGAGGTCATGACACAGAGAAATGTAATGTTGTGATTATTGAAATCCAATACTTTTTTGCAGCAACTCTTTTCACTATTACTAAATTCCGCCATGTTGACATTATTAGCAGTATTGCCAAGTTTTAAAAACATAACAGCTGCGTTCAAAAATACCAAATGGTGTGACGACAAATCGGATATTTATAATGGGTGAGGGAATGATTTCATTTCAAGGGACATAAATTAGCCGTTTTTTTGTGTCAATACTTTATTTAAATTTTTGCTTTTAAAATATTAGTTTAGATAGTTACTGATATATTAAAAATGTAAAATTGACGATAAATCAATGCCTCAGGACATGAATTTCGAAATTTGTTGAGAAATACCCGTATATTAGAAATTGAAGTAATTATCAAAAATCATCAGAAGAACAGGCAAAGTAATCGCCATTTGAATTTTTGTTCCATGATTTTCTTAAGTACCTTAATATTGTGTTAAAGTAGTTACTTTTCTATTATATGTTATATCTATATCAATCTCTAGGTTAACAAGTTTATCTTTCAGAATCTACAGGGATGCATCTAAAATTTCCGGTGCAAAGTTACGCCAATTATTGTATACTAAGTGACATATAAATCCGAACACCCAGTTTAAATGGTTTTATTTTAATAAAATTTTGTATAAGTACTTAATGAAGCATAATAAGTAAATGATAAAAATTTCAAAATGATTGCACTGCTTTAAAGCCCTTTGACCTTTAATAATGTGTGGATGCACCATGATGTGCTACGCATTCTCCAACGCGCCTAGGCATGCTTCTGATCAGGTGGTCAATGTCCTCCTGTCATTCCAGGCAACCACCAACTCCTCTCGAAGTGCTTCTAGAGTCTGAGAAGGACGTTGCAAATTGAGCAATCTCCTACCCATCATATCCCACACGTGCTCAATTGGGGATGAGTCGGGAGATCTTGGTGGCCATGGTAACAATGTGACATCATTATGTTGAAAGAAGTCTATTGTGACTCTTGCAACATGTGGTCGCGCATTATCTTGTTGGAAAGTTGGATCTACCAGGGTGCCAAGATAGGGTAAAAGACGGGGTTCTAGAACTTCGTGGATATAACGCTGCGCGTTCATGTTACCTCTGATGAAGATTAACGCTGACCTGGAACCATAAGCTATAGCACCCCAAACCATAACTCCAACAGTGTGATGAACATGTCTTTCAACAAAAAACTGTGGATTCCTCCTTTCACCACGTCGCCTTCTAACCCTGGCACGACCATCATGCATGCCTAATCAAAATCGAGACTCGTCACTAAAGACCGTTGTCTGCACCACTCAAGGCGATTACGTCGGTGTTCTCGAGTTAAAGGGAGGACCCAGTGTGGCCGGTATGAAAACAAGCCAAAACTTCTCATTCGTCGGTAAACACTTCGCATGCCAATAGGTCTTCCGTGTTCTGCAAACCATTCATTTGCAATGGACCTGGTAGTGTAGAAACGGTCCCTTAAGGCCAATAATCTTAGGCGGCGATCTTCACGGCCTGTTGTTCTACGGCGGCGTCCAGTGCCCCTTGCTCTTTGCGTACGGCCTTCTCGAAGCCATGCCTGATAACACCTAACCACAGTGTCTACACTCTTTGCACTCTAACTGCAATTGCCCGAAAAGAAAGTCCAGCTTCCTGAAGTCCCACTATACGGCCCCTATTAAACTCACTAAGTTGACGAAATCGTACAGGTCTCCGTACTCTAGGCATCGTAACCGATCGTAAAGGATGTCAAGAACCAAAACCCGCCAACGTTGATTCTTTACTGCGGCTGAAATATTCATTTTTAGAGCGTTAGTGAATTAAAAAAAGCAGTATAAAAACCGGAAAGTCCAACTGATAAGGCTGACAATTATTTCACTTGTTATTTACAGTAAGATAAATGCATTCATCAACTTTTATTAAAATAAAACCATTTAAACTGGGTGTTCGGATGTATATGTCACTTAGTATACATGCGTTATTTCTCATTTGCAGTTTCGAGACTGAAAATGGCATCAAGCGAGCGTTTGTGACTGGCTCCGCAAACTTTCACGGAGTCTACATTTACAATACTAAGGATGGTGCGAGACATGTAGTACACTTTGGAGGCAGTGAACGAGAAAGCGGTCCTTTTGTAACCTTAAGTGGGCCAACAACATCACGACCAGTGGGTCCACCAGTACCCTATTATCCGACTGTAGCATCGGCTACACGTGTACCCGCACCAGCTCCTGTACCAGGTCCGGCTCCTGCACCTGCGCCTACGCCTACGCCTGCCCCCGCGTACGGAGTTTACCCTGTGGCTCCAGGTTACGCATGTAAGTTGTTACATGCGGTTGGTCAAAATTTTTCCTCGAGGCCTTTTTTTTTGGCTTTAGGACCAGGCCATGCAGCCAGAAACTAGGTTGTTATATTTTATATTTCTAATTATGGACAGACAGACGGCGTCACAACATCCATGGCGAAGGCGAGATTCGAACTCGCGGCCCGGCTGGCCGGCTGATCAGTAGCACGACATTCTGACCCACGCGGCCAACCGAGGTCCCTCCTGGAGAGCTTCATTAAAAAGATACAGGGTGTTGAAGTTTTAAAATAAAAACAATTTTTTTAATATCTTCAAAATTGTCAACTGAAACGAACTAAAATTTGGTAAGTGAATTTATCTTAGTATTGTCCACATTCAAAAGCATTTACTTAAAATCAACGTGCAGCAATGGCGGAGATACAGGGGATTAGTGGCATTATTTTCACAAATAAAAATAGTACGCCACTGTTTTTTCGAATCGCGCATTTTTCAAATTTTACCTTCAATCTGCTACAAATAATTACTCTTGTGTTTTTTCCTAGAGTACATTGGTTTTGTGAAAATAAAAAAAAAAAACATATTAGATACTCAAAGCTTTATTTCAATAAATGTTCAAAAATACCATCTTTCTGACGGATACAAGTGCTGCATCTTTTTAATAGAGAAGAACGCATTTCCGCAAAATTTGTTGTGGCTTGAATTTGATGAAACGCATTGTCTATTCTTTCGTGTAACGGATCAACGGTATCAATTTGTCCAACATACACTAGTTGTTTAAAAGCGCCCCACAAAAAGATATCCCGGTGTTTTAAATCAGGATACGTTGCAGGCCAATTTACGGGTCCGTTTCTGTCAATACATCGTTGTCTAAAATAATTACTTAACCATGCGGTTATATCACGACGAACATGCGGTGTGGCACCGTCGTGCTGACACCACATTCGTACTCCCGTTGCTAACGGAGCATCATCTAACACATTATCCATGCAATTATACATTAGGTCCAGTCCGAAGACATCACTTTGTTTATTTACTATGTAGTCCGGCCCTGGATTACTAGCCGCACACCAAGTTAAAAGACAAGAGATCCCCGCTCCCGTCCCGTCGCTCTCCGGTCTTGCACGTTGAGTCATTTGTTAAAAGAAATGGTACTTGCTCGCAACTTGGGAGGGTTGAAAAAAGGGGTGGGAGTGATGTCTTCGGACTGGACCCTCGTATAATTACGATCGAACTTCACTTAAGGTAAGTTCGTTTGATCGATTAATTATACTTTAGGTCCAGTCCGAAGACATCACTTTGTTTATTTACTATGTAGATGTTTAAAGATAGAACACAGTTGCGAGCGATCTGATGGTGTTATAAAGTGGAATCAAGGTGTTCAGAAACGACAAAACCATATATTTAGTATTCCTATGTAACAAACATAAAATAAATTCTCAAATTGTAACCTAAATATAACGTTGATATGAGAAATAACTGAAACACAGGAAACATGTAACAAACTCTCAAGAGTATTAGAACTTAACTAATCAGACCAATTTTATATCTAAGATTGCATTTGCAAACTCATTGTTTGGTTGTAGAGGACGATTATAAAATCTTGCAAACGTGGAACGTTGCGTCCAGCCAACTGTTTTACATATGTTATCTACGGAAACGCCTTTCTTAACGCCTCAGAAGTCGCCGCATGCCTTACTGAATGAGGTATAAAAAGTGTTGTGTCTACTCCTGCAGAGGCAAGGATCTGTTTTACCCATCTGCTTAAAGTGTCTTTAGACGCCCTGCCATGGAGTTTTTTCCCTGTCACAAATAGGACATCGTTATTCGGTTCTCTTAAAGAAGCCGTTCTATCAATGTATTCTTTCAGGATTGTGGCCACGCAAAGAAAGGGGTTTTGTTGAAAAATCGGGATGTGCAGAGTGGGTTGAGGTTTTCCAACTCTACTGGTTTTAATTGGATCCGATATATTAATAGTTGATTCACTGTGACCATGGATTATATTTGAGAGACGTATAAGAGATATCGTCTGGAGTTTTTCTCCTGTTATCAGGGCTAATTACGTCGTTAATTTCTGTGACAGAGTTTGAAGACTAAGCGGTGATGATAACTTCTCTAAATAATTTAGAAGGGGTATAGGGTCCCAGGTGGCAGTATACTTTAATCGTGAAGGCTGTAAGCGAGAGATGCCTTTTTTGAAGCGTTTAATTATCGGATTAGAGGCTAAATCCTTTGAGCAAATTAATGAAAGGGCAGATATATGGGAGTTAAAAGTACCAGTTGGCCATCAAAAATGCCGCTCCAGACGTTTGTAGAAAACCTGTGCTGACACGAGTGGAGTCTTGCAGAACAGGGATTTTCTAACGATCATTATGAGAATCAAAGGTTCCACTCCTCGTAAAAAGCGATTCATCTGACCACAAAACCAAATCAATTAAATTTTGATTATGCCTCACAAAAATTTCGGCGTTGCACTTCGACGCCGGGTTGCAGACATTGTACATTTTGGCGATGGTAAGGATGTAAAACTTCCTGATTTAAAATTAACGCAAGACTTTGGGAACATTGTAACTGGGCTGCAATCCGTCTAGTATTCGTGCTAGGATCATCCATCAACCATAACTTTGACAACTTATCTCCTAACAAACGTCAAGTTGGTAACAAGGCCTTCTATTTTATTTTGAAAGTAATAGTATTTCGGCTCTTCATGAATGATCTAATTTGTTTTACTTTGATTTCTACGAAAACAGTGCACTCTAGGAAAAAACAAAAGAGTAATTACTTGTAGCAAGTTGAAGGTGAAATTCGAAAAATTGCACGTTTCTAAAAAAAAAAAGCAGTGACGTACTATTTTTATTTGGAAAAATAATTCCACTAACCGCCTGTATCTCTGCCACTGGTGGACGTTAATTTTAAGTAAAGACTTTTGTATCTGGACAGTAGTTACGTAAATCCACATAGTTTAGTTTAGTTCATTCCAGTTGACGATTTTGACCAGTCGGACATTTACAAAAACATGTTGTGGGATATCTTGGCAGCTTTCGATTATGCCTTGACGACGTTTATCCAAACTTTCAGGTTAGGGAGCAAACAATAGATTTTAAATGTCCCATAGAAATGACAATGAAATGCTAGTCGCAGCAACAATTTTGCGTAATGAAGTATTAGGATTTATTCCAAAATGACCCAAAACATCAACTTGAGCGCCTTCATCCAACATTCTCCGATGATCACGTTTTTATTTCCAACAGATCCAGTTTGATTAAATTTAGTAACAAAGTCCAAAACATACCTATGCGAAGTTAAGTTCCTCGGAAGTCTTCCGTTAAGCATGATGACATTTGCCAAGTACATTGACTTTGGGCACCACAAATTCCACTTCCACTCTTTCTGCTCGTGTGTAAACCATTTTGACACTAAAATCTGGAACAATAAATTAATTTTCACTATCCCAAGATTGTCACAAAGATAACTGACAGCAAATTAAATTCTTTCTTTCCCTTAGCAACAAATAACTAAGCAGGTATAACAGTGGTTCGCCCAGGATATCTGTGTATGCGGAAAAAAATTCGGGTGGTTATTTAGTTGTTGCCATGTCTGATCTTCCGAATTGCTGTTTAAGCTGGTAGTTTCCGTTTTAAATTATAAACGAATTATAGATTTGGAAAACCCTAACGGGCAATATTTTAAACACTTATTGGAATAAAAAGTGATATTTTCGTGTGTTTTCGTTCACTATCTGAACAAACTAAGATAATTAAAGATTTTTCTAGTTTTTTTGAAAACGAATCAACTGATTTTAAAATCCAATACCAAAATAAAGGACTTCAGAAGACCTTTGAAATAAGCTTACTCGATACCCATTGTCATTTAAAATTTTTAAGGTAATGACCTTGGGGGCCGAGGGTGAAGTAGTTTTTGGTTAAAAAGTTGTACTACCTTGACAAATCTTTTGACATATCTCGACGTTTTTGCTTTTAATCAGTGGCCTTCGAAAAATCCGTGGTGGGACGTTTTCAAATTAACATCCTGTATGCGCAAATCTTCCCATCAAAGCTGCTGCAAGACATGAAATATTCACCAGCTCCTATAATTTCAGCATATGGAGGAAGATTTGGAGAAACAGGAGGATACGGAGGAGGATATGGCGGTGGTGGTACAAGTACTCAATCCATCGCTCCTGGTCTAGTAGCATCTGCGATTGGAGGTGGTCTCGGATAGCAGATGAGAAAAAAATCTTGTAACATAGTTACAATAAAAATCCCTTGAACTGATTTCATCCAGTGAAACAGACAATAAGAAAAGCATAGGTGTACGGCAGAGGTATCTAAAGATTTAATTGAATTGTAACTGAGTCCTTGTGATACAACCTTAGGTATGAAATAGTTGATTCAGTACAGAAGTTTTCTTTAAGCTCCCTCCCCTTCTCCACCTATTTATTATCTAACCTAGTTAAATCAGCCATAATGCGTTGGTCAATCCTTGATGTGTATGGAAACCTACAATGTCGCAGATGACGGCACAACCTGTCCGCTTGACAGGATCGAAAGATATAAGCATCGACAATTCTCATGCGCAAAGCGAAATTTAATTGTTTATTAAGTATGTGACAGTCAAGAGATAAATTATATAGTAGATAGTACAATATTCAAACACAAAAAAGTTTCGCGAGAATCTATTTTCTTCTACTGACTACTTAAAACAAAGACATAAAAAGTGGTAGAAGAATTGAGCCCACATCCATTTTACGTTAAGCAAGGACCGTAAAAATGAAGTCGGTAGGTAGCCAGGTCTATTAAGGCGTTGTGCTGCTAGCACATCGCTCGAAGGCTCGCGGGTTCGAGTCCTGGCATCAGAAGCTGCATTTCGAGCCATGGACATTGTGTTTGTCTGTATACGTACGATCCGGATTGTTGCGTGATCAAATATGTACATCGCATGTCTCACGTACCAGTGGACAAGCATGTGAAGTGCGGTGCTGATACAATGCAGTCGTCTAAAAGGGTCAACGGTGACCTAACTGCCAGGATAGGCCCACCCGTTGATGCTTCTACTATTACTACTACTACTATTGCTTTACGCAAGATTGAAAAGAGGCCTAGTCGTCAATTTTGTGATTTATTGCAGTGAAACTATCAGTGTTACTTTCACACCTTCATCTCCGTTTTTTAATACAGTGGTTATATTAGCACTAGCTTTAAACTAGCTTCAGTTTCAACTAGTCCTAGATCTAGTTTTAAACTCGCCCTGAAGATGCCAACACCACGAACGACTTATCAGATATTAAAAAACTGGTTGGGCAAGTGATAAAGATCTGTAGCAGTCATAGTCCGTACATCAAAAGATCCAACTTCACATATATTTTTGTGAAAACGGTGTCATAAATCGTGTTTTCTCTCGCAGTTCCTGTAGTGTGCATTACGCCTTAGCAGATGGTAATGAAAACAGTTAAATGCCGGTATTCCGAATCTCCCCGCAACGTTACACCTAGACGTAATTGTTGTTTTGTCAATCAAGAATATTTATATTTTTACATAAAGCATTCTGAAACGCATCAGTGCTGAACAAGCTGTTCTGGTCGCCTCAGCTATGATACGTTAGTCAATACCACCTTATATGTATAAAACAATGATATTAATGCTATTAGCCGGAGCTATAATGCAGATTATTCTGATTTTAAGGTACATCACAGCGATATGTAAACTATATACTGGTGATCCGCCAGTTATCCTAGCATCTACGTGTTAAGCAAATTGCATCCCTAATGCATTTAATCAACAACTGTAGAACCATGTTCAACACTGTCTTTGTTGTGATACTACTATTATGTGCTTTTTGTTGTATTTTGGTGGACTTACAGTCAGGGGGATTCTTCTTTTCGTAAGTAACTAGTACCTATGACTTTTAGAGTATTGTAAGCGCTTTACTAATTTCTAAGCTCGAGGCTAAATACCAATCTAGAGACGACACAGATTATCGGATTGCTAGTGCATTAAAAAAGCCTATCTGGAATCCGTACATTGGAAAAGATCTTTTAAGCCCTCTGTACATATTTTTCGCTAGCTAGAAGAACCAGCGGAAAGGAATTGTCGGAAAGGCGAAGCTGTTTACCCAATTTCCGTGAAAAAAATTTACATTCTCAGGTCAATCTCATGAATCAATTTTAGAGGCCTGCTTTACAAGTTGCTCCCAGAGTTTATAGTAAAAATACTGCCCACAGTGTCAAACATTTAACCTGCCATTATTCTACTCGAGAACTATATCGTCGTTTGGTGTTTTTACTTCCTACGTCTAATGGCGAGGAAGAATTTCGAAAATTAATCGTATTTATTTATGATGCCTACATTATAAATGTGCGAACTTTAGCTCGTGTATCTATTCTTGACCACCTGACTCAAATATCAGGAAAAAACGTATAATAGTAAAATTATGTGAATACATTCAAATTTGAAATTTATTCTTCAAGGACATATACACTCATTGCGACAGGTTGAGATTTTTAAATAATATTTAAACCAATTTAAAAACAATGGTTTTAGCTTTTCCGGAACTGAGTTGTACAGTGTAACTGCGTTATGTGTGAAAGATCGGTTGAATAAAGCTGTCTTGCCCATACTATCAATGCTCCTTGAAGTTGGGTCATATTTTTTTAAGCTATTTATTTGACGGCAATAATTATTTCGGATTTTTTGTAGTCGCTTTGCAGTGGTTTGCTCTAAGCATCGAATATAAAAGGTAATACAACATAGAATTTTGGATATAACTTAGCTTTCGTATAACGCTTTTTGATTATATTTAGTCATGACGTCTTTCTTTGCATATAAGGGTGACTTCGAAGTTGAGTCATTTATTTTAACAGTGAGTAAATCTGATCAAAAGAAATGTTTTTTTCCTTTTCCATTTTTCTGGTAAAATTAAAGTAACAAAGTTATAGCCCTTTGGAAGTTTGAGTACCGCCCTGTCTCAATAATAATATTATGTGCTCGTGTTTGGCAACAACGGATATAATCCGCCTTATCGGTTCATCGCATCGGAAACAAAAAAGCGAAAGAATTTGGAACGATGTTTTTACAATTATTTTATTCAGTTGTGTATACAGTCAGTGTCAGTCGGTAACGCGTGAGTGAATAGTGGTGTCTGTTGCGTGGCTCAAACGAAATCAAAAATGGCACATGTTTACGAAAATGCTGAACTTGTGGACATGATTCTTATTTACGCGGCATCACGGATTTATGCGGATCGGTTTCCCAATCGAGTGCAACCAACCCCTCGTGCCTTTGTTAATGTAGTACAAGGGGCTCGTGAATCAGGTGACTTAAGACCTCACAGGGGAGGGCATGCCGGTGCTCCAAGACCGCACGATCAAATACAGGTCCGCACTGAAATACTTGTCGGGAGGATACTTTATAAAACAAGGTAACGTTTTTTTTTTTAATTTTCACATACATATTTTGGTTTATCTTCCTTCTACAATCATTATCTGAAAATTAATGACTCAACTTCAAAGTCACCCTGTATAAGATAAATAACAATTTCTAGAGAAAAAGGTGCACATTATTCTTTAGTAAATTATATTCTGTTTTTGAGCTGAAAAGGATAACTCTAATAACACCTCTTAGAACAGAAAAATCATTTCCTAAAACTACTGTCTGGGATCCACCAGTAATATTGCATCAAAAGAGATTCAAACTTGATTCACATGGTCCTAAATATTTTAGCTTTGATATTGAAAAGTCATGATTAATTTTATCAAACGCTTTAGAAAGTCAAGGAGTAACACGACACTAGCATCACCCCTGTCTGCAGCGTTGATGATATCGTCAGCTACAGACAACATGGTTGTTGTTGTGGCTGCACCCTTCTCTGAATTCGGATCCAGAAATGATTTTTCCAAGAAGTTTTGATAGTACGGGTAGCAAACTGAATGGTCTTAGGTCACTGTAACACTCTGGTAAATACATTTCGTTGTAACAAGAAAGATCAGTGATTCTTTTCCTGAATCCATTTTGGTTGTAATCCCCAGTAACTCTATCCATCCATTAGACATATTACAGTAACCACACATTTGTGGTATATTCCTAGCCAATATTGTCATCCACGTGGGATTTATCATGGCAACGATCATGAATTCAATTTAAGACATTTAATTTTTTATTATGCAAGTTCGTAGCTAACTTTTTTCTTGGAAGGTCCAGCTTGTGCTGAACATAATCCGTTACGAAGTGATGATAGCGTTGCGTGGGTCAACTTACTTATCGCCATTTTTCGAATATGCTTTAAACGTACAAGCATTATTTTTTTGTTTTATCAGAAATCGCATGTGAGCATTTTTAACTAATGAAGCTGATGGCGCATTAAATGCACCGGATTCTTTCAAGTACATAATGGTCGCTTCCAATAGTCAGCAATCATCCCGAATTCTTACAGGAGCTTTGTAAACTTTTAACTCTGGTCAGTAACCAAGTGAGTTCAGTTTGAATCCGGCAATCATCACGGTCAGACATCAAGTCCTAATCGATCTACCCAATGTTCTACGTTTGTTTCTGTTAATGGACCACGAGCAATAATACCGATGTTGTTAATTAACGTAACCGAGTGAGAGGTGATCCAGGTAAATTTGAAATAACAAGTGATTTTTTAAGAGGTATAGGATTTGATCTCAAAAAAAAACACAAAAAAATTGAAAAAAACGATTAAAACTCTATTTGAGTCGATAGAACGGTCGATATAATTTAATGTTTAAAGATTATTTCATGTAAATGTTGGCCGCGGCTCCGCCTTAGATGGCCCATGCGCAAGGTCAAATTTTGGCACACTCTCTCCAACATATCGACCGGTATCTCACGAATAAATGCCTCAATATTGGCTTCCGGTACGCCAATCGTTGCTGGTTTATCCCTGTAGATAGTAGCCTTAACATGGCCCCACAAGAAATAGTCCAACGGCGTTAAATCACACGATCTAGGCGGCCAATTGACTGGCCCCAAATCTGAGATGAACTGTTCACCGAACTCGCCTCTCAATAGGCCCATTGTTAAGTGTGCGGTGTGGCATGTGGCACCGTCTTGTTGAAACCACATGTCAGCCAAGTCCAGCTCTTCCATTTTGGGCAAAAATAAAGTTTGTATCATCGCACGGTAGCGCTCGCCATTCACAGTTACGTTCCGGTCTTTGAAGAAGTACGGCCCGATGCCACCGGCACATAATCCACACCAAACAGTGATTTTTTCGGGATGCATTGGTAGCTCTTGGCTGGTCTTCACTCCAGATGCGGCAATTTTGCTTGTTAACGTACCCATTCAACCAGAAATGAGCTTCGTCGCTGAACACAATTTTTCGATAAAAATGTGGATCTTCCTCCAACTTCGCCAGCGCCCATTCACCAAATTGGAAACGTTGTGGG